TAAGATTATAAAACACCTACCAAGTCAAGTTATGGTTTAAACAGGAGATTATAATATACCTACCAAGTCAAGTTGTGGTTTTAACAGGAGATTATAATACACCTACCAAGTCAAGTTATGGTTTTAACACGAGATTATAATACACCTACCAAGTCAAGTTATGGTTTAAACACGAGATTATAAAACACCTACCAAGTCAAGTTATGGTTTAAACATAAGATTATAATACACCTACCAAGTGAAGTTATGGTTTAAACAGAGATTATAATATACCTACCAAGTCAAGTTATGGTTTAAACATAAGATTATAAAACACCTACCAAGTCAAGTTATGGTTTTAACAGGAGATTATAATATACCTACTAAGTCAAGTTATGGTTTAAACAGGAAATTATAAAACACCTACCAAGTCAAGTTATGGTTTAAACAGGAGATTATAATACACTTACCAAGTCAAGTTGTGGTTTAAACAGGAGATTATAATACACTTACCAAGTCAAGTTATGGTTTAAACATGAGATTATAATACACTTACCAAGTCAAGTTATGGTTTAAACATGAGATTATAATATACCTACCAAGTCAAGTTATGGTTTAAACATGAGATTATAATATACCTACCAAGTCAAGTTATGACTGAACAAAAAAATCATACCAAATTATTAAGCAGAAGGATAAATTATCTACAAATCATACTTTTATGGTAAAATGCATACATTAAACTAATCCATAACACTTTTAACTTTTCACAGTAACTTTATAGTAATAAAATATCAAAAGATAACTGCAGGCCACAAAATGCATAATAACACAACTTTCTTTAAATGTATGAATTTCATTCCACAAACCAGAGTACATTTTCATGCAGCACACACACTATTAACATATGAACACTGTTTCTATTAGGGTATACAAAATACAGAAGCTCTGTGCTGTCGTTTCTTCCTCAAGAATTAAACATTTTGTGCACTTTATTACATACGTGAATCATACGGGTGGATGAAAAGTTTAAAACATATGATGATGTGGAATTTCAACACATATTTCTGTGTACTTACTTAGACACACTCGTGACAGACGACATCAGTCGTGAGTTTCCCGAGCTCTGAAAAAACAACAACAGCAGTCTGTGAAATAAAGATAATTTGAATATCCAGCAGTTCTTCGTCAGAGGTAATGCCTATCATCAGTTTTATTAATAAGGAAAAACAAATCACTACAACTATAACAAAAACATATTAACTTACATATACAATGGATACAATTACTAAATAATACTTAACAACATGCCACTTATATTAAAACAGTTCACTTACAAAAGCTGTGTTCAACAGTGTTGTGCCAGACTTACACAGAACAGTGTTCAAACAGTTTAGTACTCAGGTCACAGACTTACACAGAACATTGTCCAAACAGTTTAGTACTCAGGTCATAAACTTACGTAGAACATTGTCCAAACAGTTTAGTACTCAGGTCACAGACTTACACAGAACAGTGTCCAAACAGTTTAGTACTCAGGTCATAAACTTACGTAGAACATTGTCCAAACAGTTTAGTACTCAGGTCACAGACTTACACAGAACAGTGTCCAAACAGTTTAGTACTCAGGTCACAGACTTACACAGAACAGTGTCCAAACAGTTTAGTACTCAGGTCACAGACTTACACAGAACAGTGTCCAAACAGTTTAGTACTCAGGTCACAGTGTACACAGAACAGTGTCCAAACAGTTTAGTACTAAGGTCACAGACTTACACAGAACAGTGTCCAAACAGTTTAGTACTCAGGTCACAGACTTACACAGAACAGTGTCCAAACAGTTTAGTAGTCAGGTCACAGACTTACACTTTACACTACTTTTTAAAGTAAGGATATAAGAAAGTACATTCTAAAAGTGGGTTTAGTTTAAAAAAAGGAAAAGCCAGATGCTTTACCACATATTCTCCAAAAAATTAAACTAACTACAAAACCAGTCAAACAAAGAATACGCTGTGCAAAGTTCTTCTTTAATAGCTTTCTTTCGTATTATTAACAAATATTTTTTATATAAAATCTATTCTCATATCCAAATCTATATTCATACAACAATTTACATACATACACACACACAGTATTCCTTATTTTGAGCTTACCAAATTTGTAAAGATAAATTCAAAGCGCGTGTTGTTTGTCTTTGTTAAAATATACAGGGCTTCAGCAACGCCTCTAAGTTTCTGAAAAAAAAATTAAAACAAAAAAACCCAAATTATTTTACTTAAATTTATAGTCTCCCCATCAGAGTCCTTGCTACAGTCAAGTTTAATGTAACAACAGAGGTTTTTGCTAATCATATGTTTTGAAACATAGCTCAAGAAAAAAATATATCATTTAAAAAGTGTTCCAAAGCCACTTAGAAATAAAATATTAATTACTATTTTTCAAAAAAGGCTTAAGAGGACTATCAACTTTTGTAGAGTTTTATTAACTTGTTGCATAGAGTTTCTAGGTCTACTCCTTGTACTACTTACTGAAACATCGCTGTAGTCTCTTAGTGCACAACATACTCGATTTTAGTACAAAACTTCGGTGAAGTACGGCTATAATAAAACTCAGGTATGAAAATTTCCTGTTTAAACAACTTCAGGAGAACATTTTTCAGAAGAGCATTTGACATTTTGTATAATATGTGCATTTTATATGAAGTGTGTCAAAGTGAATGTGTTTAAAGCTTGAGAAATTTAAGACAAGCATCTCCAGTTGTACAACTTTGGATCAAATTCTTTCTGAGCATAATCTAAGTTTGAAAGGTTTAGCAAGTGAATGAACATCCCACAGACTTAATACCTTCGAGTTACAAACCTGTTATTTGTATGATTATTTTGATCTAAACAGTACCGAATGAAACATTATCCACTAAAAAACTTGTTTTGTTATCAAAATGAGAGTAATTAAGCCTATCATTATCAGAATATAGTGAAAGAACTTCAGTGGATCTGTCAGAGCTAAAAGCATAGTATAAGCTTACCGAGTGTATTACACAAACCTTTTGTAAGTGAAATAAATCCTATATAGTACCCTTGTCTTGTTTAATTTTATGTCATAGCAGTTTAGTTAGCTTGGAGATCAGAACATAATATTATTAACAGAACTAGTTAATTTCTTTTGTTTCCTGAATGCTATTGTAAACTTTGAAATGTTATCATAATTTTGGTGCAAACTCCTGGGTGTTTTATTTATTCCTTGAATCAAGGTCTCTCATTCATCTAAACATTTCTTTTAAGAGTTAAAAGCTATCAGATGTGGTGGATGCAGTTAATTTACAGGTATTTAACGGAAGCCTTGATGAATATTTGAATGATAAGGGCTAGCTTTGAGTGTTTTATTTGTATTTTAGAGTTTAATACAGTAGATGGGATGGCCTAGATGGACCAATAGGTCCATTGTTGTCCATAAACTATATGTATATATAGCTGTAAATAACAGATACTTTTAGTGTTTTAATTACTATTAACTTCAGAACTAAAAAACATGTAATGAGCATAGCTAATTATATATACTCGAACTTGGAAAAGTTACGCATTACAAAAAAGTCCAATCTATGATTTTCCTCTTACTTAAAAACATGCATGTTAAAAAAGGTAAACATTGATTTCTTACTGAATTGACAGTTCTAGAGGATATACTTGTTACACAGCTCCATCCAACTGCTGTAGAGAAAAAAAAGTAAACATTAAGTGAAAAACTACCAACCTGAACTTGCAAGATTAACACTAGAAACTTTTTTCATTATAAACTAAAAAATAAATAAATAAGAAATGATTATAACAGAAAATAAGAACTAATTTCCTCTTTTATGATACTTATTTTCACAGATCAGATATACATCAAACTTTCAATTATATGTCTTTATCCAAATTTCAAATCCACACTAAGTAACAATTAACATTTGTCTTGTTCAAATTTTGTAGTTAAAAAAAAAACTTTTTATCCAGACTTCTGTTAAGAATGTAGTTACATAAAAATAAATAAATAAATCACTGTTCACCTGCAGTTAAAGTTAGTTAACATTTTTTAAATTATTTTATTTTAAAATTAGTAGCAACACTTAAATGCACATGAAAAAATCAAACACGTGCCCAACAATTCTTGAAGGGATGAAGTGTTTATGTTTCAGGAAATACTTACATAAACTGACCCTGGGCCGAGAATGAGATTGCCAAATCATTCGGAGGTTTGTTATAAATAACTTTCCTAAGAAGAAAATGAATCAATTGAGTGTATTAACAAATAATTATTATAACTACTACAAAAAATGTAAATACTAAATGTAAGTTCATTTGCTTTCAAGACTTTTTAAAACAGCTTTGAAGGAGTGATTTCATTCAAACATTTAATGGTGTTTCTTTTTGAGATATTTACATTTTTTTCAACAACTTTCTATAGAATTTTTTTTACTTCACAGTATCACAGATGAAAAATTGCAAAATATTCTTTATTTTATGCACTAACATGTAAACAAGTTTCAAAAAATATTCTGCCAGCTTTACAAAATTGTAAGTTATACTGTTGATAACTATATTAAAAAATACAGAGGGTTGAGTGTTATATTAAAATGATTTTCAATATGCAAATAATTAAGACACGTGACAACTACAGCTGATGTAAAGTCATGGTGGTATGGAATGCATCAGAACTCCATTTTGACATCTGACATTTTGTAAGTAGTGTTATGCTAATGAAAATCCATCACTTTTAAGAAAAGTATGTAACAATCCTTTCTGAAGCAAAATATTCATAAACTTGAATCAAAAAGATGTGTTCAGATGGGGGTTTAAAATTTCTAAGATAGGGATATCTTCTTGTACATAATGACATTGAAAAACAAAAAAATATGAATCAACTAGCTGCACTAAGACCATTCAGAAAAAATCTACATCAAATTGTACCAGAGCCATAGTGAGTTATTTTATAACAGGTGAGAATAGATGAATATTTATATATGAATGAATATAAGTAAAATGCATAAATAAGCAGAAGACCTGAAAAATTATAATTCTTTTTAAGTGTTTTATACGATGTGGAAGAGGCAAGGATCTTTCTAGCATTTTGTCCCTTGGACAAGATTTTTTAAAGTTCCACATCCTTGGTCACATCCAATCAGAGCTGATGAACAACATTTTTCGAACACTCATCACAGAAACAGCCTTTAATATCAATGTTTCTAGTAGAACAGCTCTATTATTGTGCTTTGTATCCTTTTTTAAAGAAAGGGAAATTTCTGCTCTTAGAACTTGCAACTTCACCACAATATGATTAAACTTCCACATTTATGGAGTTCAAGCAATCATCCGACACATATTTCACAAGTAAGTAAAAAGAGTTCTACAAATATGTTTGTGTAGGAAAACAAAATGTCTATACAGTACAATTATTCTGCTGAATCATATAGTCAGAAGTGACTGTGCATAAACACTAAATAATTTGATATCTTTTGACTCTCTATTAGGTCATATGGATAGAATATCTTTACCTCTGTCTCCACTATTGCCTTTAGTGTCCTCAACAGCCTCTAGTTTGTCGATCATAATCTCTCCATGTCGAAGCTGCAGCTCCCTAAAGCAAAATTACTCATTTCTAAAAGTTATAATTATCGTTCTAAGATTACAAATATAAAAAAATTAAATGTAGTGGTTTAATGATAGAGTCCATGAAGCTTACGTACTGATTATACACTACAGAAAAAATCTAAAACTAAGAGCATTCTGTAGAGATAAGCATCTTGATGAAAAACATTTTAACTCACTAGGGTTGTACTTACAAATATATCTTTTGTCTATACTTCATCAATATTGATAATACAGCTTCTAATGTCCACTCATTTATTGCCACTAGCTGAAAACAAGCTTTGACTTCTCAAGCTATTTTTAAAATCTTAATACCATGAAAAAAAAAATTGTGTTTTAAAAACTTCTACCCCTGAAATAATAATTCTGAAAATACATTGTATTGTCCAGTTGTATTTTAATATGTAATAAATCAATATACCTTGTTAATTGTATGATTGTATATTTATATGTATTCACAACTTGCTTGTTGTAAGTCACCAAGGATCAAGGCAAAATTTTAAAAATATCCTACCTTTAGGTTATTATAATTACATAGTTTAAACAAGTAAGTTTAAACACATACTTTACTGCTGTGATCTAATTTAACTTTAAGTATCATGTTGAAGATGTCTACGGGACAAGCACAACGTTTCCAAGTCCAAGAAAAAATCGCTGTAATGCAATGACTGATAAAAAAAATGAACTAACTTGGATTACTTTCACTTTAATTTTAAATTATATTAAGTTCGCAAAACGTTTTTCTACGAAACAAATAAATCTGATGAGACAGTCTTGCTTTACATCTTGTATTTACATTTTGTATTCTTGTAACTGGGCCGCGAGATCGCGTTTGAATAAACTTATAAAGAAAAATCAATCGAAGTTTAACTTTATGCATTGGATGAGAAGTCTTCGCCCAGGGTAATAAATATTTCATGGAGACACGTAGGAAGTTATACGAAATTTAAATTCTGTTGTCTGAAAAGAAATTATTCAATTATAGAATAATGAATTATGTAAAGCCTAAGTCAGTAACGGTTAGGTTAAAAAGATTTAACGTCCGGTTTGAGAAGAAATAATTTCCTTCTATATACATTTATTCTATTATTACAAACATACTTTTTTTAAATCTTAACTAACGAAAACCTTACTGTGGGGTAATATCAAAACGAATATCCCTGTCTTGCCACAAAATATCAGCATTCTTGTTGCTCATCTTATCATTTCCAAAACAAATAGATGAACGAAAATATGTAATTAAGCGCCATCTGGAAATATATAAGTAAAATGAGAAGAAGAAAATCTAAACTTCGCAAACACCCTATCACAAAATAAGATTCAGTAAGATATAAATAGAAGTTTTAATTTAAGTAAAAAGAAAAAAAAAATGTGTTAAAAGCTCGAATGAAAAAGTATAAAAAACTTGCTACGTTCTTCTTGAAATATTCAGCTATTTGTTTGTTCGTTTGTTTGTGGTTAAGTACAAAGCTACACTATGGGCTAACTGTGATGTGCCCACCACATGTATCAAAATTCGGTTTCTGGCATTTAAAAGTCCTCAGACATACCGCTATACCACTGGGGGAATTTAAAAATATTGTAAAATGTTTTGATATAGAGCTTACCTCCATTGGCTGAGCGGCAATCTTGAGGATTTGTAACGCTAAAATTCATGGCTCGCCCTATGGTTGGTACCATGCTTATAGACCATTGTGTTGATTTGAATTTTCATAGCATACAAACCAAACAAACGAATTAGGCCTTATTTGAGTATTAGTGCTTAAAGCTCAATTAAAAAATGCTTACCAGAAACGTAGATTTTGAATCGAATATGATAACGTAATGTTTAACTTATTGTCTATTATTACCGAACACGAATTAATTTCACCCACTTATGAGGTATCGTAAAGACATCACAATACAAAAAATAAATATGAAACCTGATGTTGCATTTGATACAACATTTATCGCTGAAGTATACATGTTGGTGAGGAGTGGAATTCCACCAAACCATTGTAACTCAATGACAAGTAATGTATTGAATGATAAATTGGGTTTGGTATATATTTTTAGTATTTTAAACAGCTTCTCTGCTGAATAATTCAGAAGAATATATTATTTACATAGATTATTGAATTGAATTCTATCATGTACTCTTTCTACACATTATTAGTTAGTCAAAAATGTGTCCGTATCTATTAGAGAAACAATTTGCTTTAATAAAAGAAAAATCTTAAGCATGTAATGTTGTTTTGAGTTATGAAACATAGATGCTTCTGAATCTATTAAACTTATAAAGGTGTCGATCTTTGTAATGACTTTACAAATTTAACTGGCTCGACTGAGGCCTTGGTAATCCAAGAGTCTTGTCGACTGTGGCCTTGGTAATCTAAGAGTCTTGTCGACTGTGGCCTTGGTAATCCAAGAGTCTTGTCGACTGTGGCCTTGGTAATCCAAGAGTCTTGTCGACTGTGGCCTTGATAATCCAAGAGTCTTGGGTTCGAGATGTGGTTTGCCGAATATTCTTCGCACTTTCAGCTATGAGTGTGTTATAAGTGTGACGGTAAATCCTGCTATTCGGTTGAAAGCAACCACATCAAGAGTTGGGTTCTTAGACTATTTGTCTTCGCTCTGGGGACGGTTATTTCTGAACCACAGGGATCTCCTACTTTGTCGTTTAGCTCCATCTATGTCATTTTGGTGAACAAACAAACAATCTAACTACTAAATCAACGTGTTTTAAGCTAGGGTTTATTAATAATCAAACTGAGTTATATACAATAACACAGGCCTGCAATGGTTTTATTATCTTGAAATTTTTACATGTTCTACTGTAATTCCTGTACTCTGAAAATGATATCCATTTTTCTCCATCATGTACAGATTTTTCACAAAACGTCATATGTACTTTTACATTAATGAATCATTTTCATTAAAATTGGGTCAGTTTTGTTATGCTTAAAATGTTGACAACCACTGGCTATAGATTTCTTTAGACCAATCGTGACGTGAGAGTCTGGTCGATCGTTCTAGAACCCACGAGAAACACACCGCCTGTATATAAATAGTTAACAGGCCGTATGGCATGTCATTCCCGGATAGTATTTGTTTGTGCGTGCACTTTGACATTATTTTTTTTCTTTTCAATATTATTTATTCGTCGCTATGGCAACAA